ATGAATTAATCTAGTCCAATGATATGCTGAAAGTACTATAAACTGGTGGCTTAAAACAACAGTTATTTATTGTTTCAAAGTTTTGGAGGCTAGAATTCCAAGATCAAGGTGTTGGCAGGGTTGGTTCCTTCTGAGGGCTGTGAGGGAGAATCTATTCCATGTCTCTCTCCCCTAGCTTCTGGTGAAGGCTGGAAAGCCTTGATGTTCTTTGGCTTGTAGATCCACCATCCCAGTCTCTACCTTCACCTTCACATGGCCTTCTCCCTGTGTGTCTGAATCCAAATTTCCCTCTTCTTATAAAGACATCAGTCATGCCCTGGCCAGGTAGCTCAGTTGATTAGAGTGTCATCCTGAAACACGAAGGTTGCAGGTTTGATACCTGGTCAGGGCATATACAAGAATCAACCAGTGAATGCATAAATAAGTGGAACAACACATCAATGTTTCTCTCTCTTTCCCCCTTTCCTCTCTCTCTCTAAAAAATCAATTAAAAAAAGAAAGTGTGATTAAAAGTGGTATGGAGCCATGAAAGATATCCAGAGCTCAATCTGATGTCTTTTAAGCAGACCCAAGAGTTAATGTGGTCCTAAATGGGAAGAACAGGAAAAGACTTGAGTCAAGAATGAAGCAGCCCACAGATCTTTGTTCCATGGTTCTCCCCTTGACTGCATTTTCGAATCATCTGGGGAGAATTTTATAAAAATCCCAATGTCTCAGCTCCACCCCAGACCAATTAATCAGAGTCTCTGAAGATGGGGCCTGGGCACCATAGTTGCTGAACAGCTCCCCAGATAATTCTAATGTGCAGGTGGGATTGAGAACGGCTGCCTTGGTTAATGGTGAGCAGTTACCTGGGTGGAGGTAATTACGTAATCCTTAAACCCAGGAGCCTCATCTACTAAATTACTGCTTTCCACCCCTTTTGAGTTACAAAGTCTCACTTTTGGCAGCTGTTCTGATTAGCTATTGCTGAAAAATGAACTGCCCCATGGACACATACCCAAGAGAATTGAATACAGGGTCTCAAAGGGATACTAATACACCCGAGTTCATAACAGCATATTGATGATGCTCAAAAGCTAGAAACAACCGAAATGCCTATTGATGGATGAACAGATAAACCAAATGTGGTTTATACTTACAATGGAATACATTCAGCCTTAAAAACAAAGGAAATTCTGACACATGCTAGACACGAATGAACCTTGTGGACATTATACTAAGTGAAATAAAACAGTCACAAAAAGACAAATACTGTATGATTTCACTAGTATGAGGTATCTAGAATAGTGAAACCCATGGAAACAAAAGTAGAATGGTGGTTTCCCGCGCTGGGTAGAGGGTGAAATGGGGAGTTGTTTAGTTGTTTAATGGGTATAGAGTTTCAGTTTTGCAAGATCAAAAAGTTCGAGAGATTGGTCTCACAACCATATAAATAAATACACTTTAAATACGTCTTTATTGATTTCAGCGAGAGGAAGGGAGAGAGATAGAAAATTCATTGATGAGAGAGTCATTGATTGGCTGCCTCCTGCACTCCCCTGCTGGGGATGGAGCCCGCCCGAAACCTGGGCATGTACCCTGACCCAGAATCAAACCGCCATCTCCCAGATCCTAGGTTGATGCTCAACCGCTGAGCCACACCAGCCAGACAATAAATATACTTAACACTACTGAACCGTACATTTAGAGATGGCACATTTTATAGTATGCATATTTTACTACATTAAAAAAAATGCCCCGAAATTTAGTGGCTTAAAGCAGCAACAATCATTCCATTTCTTTTTCTTCTCTTTTAAAAATGTTAGTAAATTATTGGAGAAGCATTGGTTAATAACATTATATAAATTTCAGGTGTACAACTTTATCAGATGACATCTGCGTGCTCTGTAGTGTGCTTACCACCTGAAGTCTAATCTCCTTCCATCAACATGTACTTGACCTCCTCATTTTGTTTTCTTTCATAGTGTCTGTGGGTCAGGAATTCCAGGAAGGCTTCACTGGCTGGTTCTGGACTGGGACATCTTATGATGTCGCAGGCCACGTGGCTGGAACCGGAATAGTGAAAGTCTGGAGAGCGAGGGCCTGGGCAGACATCTTAGGGTAATTTCAGGATTTCTCTACGTGGTTTCTCCTCATGGGCCGATCAGGCTGCCGTTCAACATGCAGCCTTAGGGTAGTGGGACTGCTTATCTGCTTTGTCAGGGCTCAAACTCAAGTGTTCCCATGAACAAGGTGGAAGCAGCCTCTCCTTTCCTGACTTAGCTTGGACGTTAAGCAGTGTCCCTTCTGCCATATTCTTTTGCTCAAACAGTCACCACCGAAGCCAGTCCAATTTCAAGGGAAGGAAATGAACGTAGATTCACCCACCCCCTCAACGGGAGCAGTGTCAAAGGGATGTTACAAGAGCATGTAGGACGGGACATATTGACGTAGCCATTTTTGCAAAATGCATTCAGCCACAGCGATCAAAAGAACTTGATGAGACCTGGCAGGTTGGGGGTGGTCCCGTGCACCAGAAAGGTTACTGGTTAATTCCCTGTTTCAGGCTTGATCCCCAGTAGGGGGCGTGCAGGAGGCAGCTGACCGACGTTTCTGTCTCTCTCCCTTCCTCTGTCTAAAAATCAAAAAATCTTTTAAAATTAAAAAAAATGTAGTATCAAATATATAAATAACATAAAATCCACTATTTTAACCATTTTTAAGTGTACAACTCAGTGACATTAAGCACATTCACAATGTTATGCAACCATCATCACTACCTATTTTTTTGTCACCTTTTGTGTCTGGGTTCTTTGACCCACCATGTTTTCAAGGTTCGTCCATGCTGTAGCATGTGTCAGTGCTTCATTCTTTTTTATGGCTGGATAATATTCCATTGTCTGGAGATATCACATTTTGTTTATCCATCAGTTGATGAGCGGATTGGGTTATTCTACCTCTGGCTGTTGTGAATAATGCTGCCATGCAGATTGGCCTACAAGTATCTGTTGGAGTCCCTGTTTTCAATTTCTCTGGGTGTATATCTAAAATGGAATTGCTCGCCCAGCAGGCATGGCTCAGTGGTTGAGCATTGATCTATGATCCAGGAGACTGTGGTTTGATTCCCGGTCAGGGGCATGCAGGAGGCAGCCGATCAATGACTCTCTCATCACTGATGTTTCTACCTCTCTCTCCCTCTCCCTTCTTCTCGCTGAAACCAATAAGAATATATTTTTAAAAATAAAAATGGAATTGCTGGTTCACATGACCTTTTTCGGGGAAGCCTGCCCATTTTTTAAGGCCTGGACCCAGAAATTGGCCTCAGGAACTGAGGTCCCCAGCCATCAGCCAATATCAACTTGCCAGCCATATGAGTGAGTCACCTTGGAAGGAGCTTTTCTACCCCATGCCATCAGATGACTTCAGCCAAAGTTTACATCTGACTGCACCCTCATGAGAGGCTTTGAACTAGAAGTCCCAACCAAACTGCTTCTGAATTCCTGATCCACAGAAACTATGAGATAATAAATGTTTATTGCATTTTTAAGTCCCTCAATTTTTACATAATTTGTAGCATATCAATAACCAATACAGTATGCATTGGCCAAACATTTTTAAAATTATATTGTGACCTGGATGAATTGCTACCTTTTCTGAGTCCCAGAGTTGTAATCTGTAAAAGGGGATGAAATATCTACCTTTGAGATACACAGAGTATGTACTTCACCAGGCAAGATCAGATCACATAGTAGGAGCTTAATATACCACCAACAGTATGACCTCCTGATGAATCATGTGGGCCACACAGCCTAAATTTAAATCCTAGCTTCACTATTTCTAAGATATAAGACTTTGTTCAGGCTAATACTTAACTTTGCCGGACCTTTGACTCCTTAGCTATGAAATGGAAATATTAAAGACATACCTAATTTTATAATCCATGTAAAGCCTATTTAAACTCAATGAGACGGCAGCTATTTTCTTTCTTTTTCATTGCTCTATCCCTTAGCACAGAAGAAATGCTCAATAAGTATTTATTGAATTAATAATAAAAAGGCACCTTGCCTAAGGAAAAGACATATTAGCTATTCCAGCCTACAAGGCCCTACATGATCCCTCAGCTCCTTCATCTAGGATTTAATCTCTTACCACTTGCCACCCTCTCATTCTGCTCCAGCCACCACGCCCTCTCCACAGTTCAGCTATGCATGCACGCTTCAGCTTCAGGGCCTTTGCACCTGCTGTTCCCACGTCGGGGAAACGCGCCACCTCCCAGCTATTGACACAGCTTGTTTCTTCAGTTTCTTCAGCTCTCTGCTCAATGTCTCCTTTTCTGAGAGACCTTCCCTGGCCATTCCTGTCACCCTGTAGTCCCATACCCTGCTTTATTGTTCTCCAAAGCATTTAGCACTGCCCGGTTTCTATTTCTTTTCCTTTGCGCCCTCCTCAACATAAGGTAAGCGCCATGAGGGCAGGACTTTTATTCGCCTCTCAGTTCCTCAGCACCCCCAAAGCCGGCTGTGCAGCAGGCGCTCCATAAATATTTGCTTAATGAATAGTTTCATAAGTGCCTCCTTCCCTCCTGGGGGCCACAGGGCCGGCTACTTTTTGGCCTGGGTGGGCTGGAGCCTCCGTCACGTGACTGGCAGTCGCGGGCCCGCTTTTCAAGCTGGGGGCGGGGGCGTCGACGTGGTCCCGGGCCGCGGGGGCGAGCCCGGCC